CGGCGGCGGCGGCGGCGGCGGCGCGGACGCTCCTTCCCTCCGCCCTCCCACCGCCTCCCTCCGGCCGCCGGCCGCCCCGCCCCGGCCCCGCCCCCGTGACGCGGCTGCCGCCAACAATGGGGCGCCGGGCAGGGCGCACGCGCGGGACGGGCGGGGCGGTCACGTGGCGCGGCCATTTCCCCCCCCCCCCCCCGCCACGGGCTTTGGGGCGGGCCGGGCGCTGTGGCACGTGCGGGCGCGGCCGCAGGTAGGTGCCCGAGGCGGCCCGGGCCCTGGGGGCGCGAAGGCGCCCCGCCCCAGTCCTCGCCTCTGGGCCGGTGTCCCTCCCCCGAGGCCCCTAGCGCCGGGGCTGGCCTCCAGACTCCTCCCCCCTTCCCCCCCGCGATCCCCGCACGGCCCTGGCCCCTAGGGCCCCCCCCCCCGAGAGGTCTGGGGCACCCATATCCCCCATCCCGGGAGAGTGCCCCGAGCCGAGATCGCGCCACGTGGTGGTGCTTCCCGGCTTGGGCTGGTTTCTACCCGCCAGAGCCCTCAGACGTGAGCACCGCCCTCTAATGCTCAGAGAGCAGCCCAGCGTGCCCACGCCTAAAGCCAACCTGTCCCGGTGGCCCTTCCTCCAGCGGCCTTTCAGGGCCTTCTTTTTTCCTTTGGGGCGAAGGAGCCGTCCGGTTTCCCCCTGTGGGATTTCTTTTGGTGAATGGATGGGCTGGGAGCGACCCCACCCAGATTGTCCTACCGGGTCTCCGAGGGGACCCGGGACCTAGTCCCTGCTTGGCTGCGGGACCTCAGGCCAATTGCATGGGCTCTTTGGGTGAGAGAGGGGGCAGCCCGCCCCTTTTGTCCAGCACTGACCTCTCACCTGGTCCACTGCCATCCTCACCCGACCTGGGTACCTGCCCCCCACCCCATGGAGTCCTTCGGCCACAGCTGTCCACGACTGGATGGCCCAGAGTTCGTCACCTCTCTTCACGAACTCTGTCTTCCCTGGCAGGTGCCCCTCCCCCTCTCTTAAGGGACCCCAGTTCCTCTCTTAAGATCTTGGACTTCTCTTTTGTGTGCTTGAATGCTCGCTCGGAAGTATTAATTACTTCATTATAACTTATGTTCAGGGACTTCCCTGGTGGCGAAGTGGTTAAGAATCCGCCTGCCAATGCAGGGTACACCGATTCCAGCCCTGGTGGGGAAAGATCCCACATGCTGCAGAGCAACTAAGCCGGTTCACCACAACTACTGAGCCTGCGAGCCACAACTACTGAGCCCCTGCGCCTAGAGCCTGTGCTCTGAAACAGGAGAAGCCACTGCAATGAGAAGACCACGCACTGCAACGAAGAGTAGCTCCCGCTCGCTGCAACTAGAGAAAGCCTGCGCGCAGCAATGAAGACCCAAGGCAGCCAAAAATAAATAAATTTCTTAAAAAAAAACCAAAAAACAGGAGGAAGGGGAGAAGCATCATAAATAACTTTAGAGACACGGAGGAAAATGCCAGAAGCCACCAAAACTGCTGAAAGGGGGTCTGGTCCGGGGAGCATGGGGCTGGGCATGGCTATTTTCCATGATGGGGATTTTAGTGATTTTTTTTTTTTTTTTTTTTTTTTAGCTACACATATATTAGTTTTTAAACGTGTTCAGGCAACACTGTGATGAAAACACCACGGCCAGTGAGGCTCAGTGGGGGCCTGGGTCTGAGCTCTGCTGCTGAGCGCCCCTCCAGCACTGCCCAAGGCGGGGTGGCAGTGGTGCCTCATCCAAGGTCATGTTTTGAGAGAATAATAGTCAAGGAAAAGAACTTTGTTGCCAAAGAATATAAAACCACAAAACTGCCTTCCCTGCACCATTTCCACGTTCAGTCTTCCCCCTCCAGTTATTAAAATGTGCTTGTGGCAGTTGATTTTGGAGTGGGCTCATGGTTACTTTTGTGAATTGAGTTGGGTTTGAAATAAAATTTACACGCAATGAAAGGCATCTGCTTTCACTGCCCTGTGCATAAGCTCTTCCTGCCCAGATGAGCGGCTGCAGGACCCAGTTGGCTCTCCCCTCTCTGTCGGTCACCTGGAGCAGTTTTGCCTCCTCTGGGGCTTCACGTAAACAGAATCTTTTTTTTTTTCCCCCCTTTTTGTCTGTACCGCGGCACATGGAATGTCCCTGACCTGGGATCGAACCTGTGCCCCCTGCAGTAGAAGCTCGGAGTCCTAACCACTGGACCGCCAGGAAGTCCAGGGAATCGCTTTGTACTCCCTTGTGGGGCGAGTGTTTTGCACTCGGCCTAAGTTAATTTTTGTCATTTTTTAAAGACTCCCGGCCAGGCAGCTGTGCATCCAGGCTCCTTCATGGGCCCGTGTGGGCTGCCTGCTCTCCCCAAGGCTGCCAGGGACCCTCTGTCTCCCGCCAAGCTGGTTCCCCACACCTCTAGGGCCGGCCAGGATCTGTGCACAGACGTCAGGTTCCCTGAACCCCTGATATATATATATATATAAAATTTTTTGATAATTTAGTTTTGGCTAGTTGGGTCTTCGTTGCTGTGCGCGGGGTTTCTCTAGTTGCGGTGAGTGGGGGCTACTCTTTGTTGTGGTGCGCGGTCTTCTCATTGCAGGGGCTTCTCTTGTTGTGAACCACGGGCTCTAGGTGCGCGGGCTTCAGTAGTTGTGGCTCGCAGGCTCTGTAGTTGTGGCACACAGACTTAGCTGCTCCGCGGCATGTGGGATCTTCCCGGACCAGGGCTTGAACCCGTGTCCCCTGCACTGGCAGGCGGATTCTTAACCACTGCGCCACCAGGGAAGCCCCCTGATATTGTTTTATTTTTAAACTTTGAGATATAATGTACACATATTAAGGTGCACCCTTTAAAAGTACACAATTCAGTGGTTTTTTTAGTAAATTAAAGAGTTGTGCAGTCATTACCACCATCAATTCTAGAACATTATCAGGAATTCCCTGGTGGTCCAGTGATTAGGACTTGGCACTTTCACTGCTGAGGGCCTGGGTTCAATCCCTGGCTGGGGAGATAAGATACATCCCGCAAGCTGGGCGGCGTGGCCAAAACAAAAAAATGATCATCGGCCAGAAAATGAAACCCCTTACACTTGCGCCATTACCCCCAAGCCCCCTACAGCCCCAGCCCTGGCAACCACTCATCTACGGATTTACCTTCTGACATTTCACATGCACGGAATCAGACACTGTGGCCACAGCAGTCAGGGTTCTCCAGAGAAACAGAGCATAGCAGAGGTTTACCATAGGAATTGGCCACACAATTATGGAGGGCTCTGTGCGATTCAGTCCGAGGCCAAGGGCGCGAGAACCAGGAGCTCCAGGGCAGGAAGAGAGGGACGTCCCAGCTCAAGAAGAGAGAAGGAACTTGCCCTTTTGCTGTCTTTTTGTTCCACTTGGGCCCTTGATGGGTCGGATGACACCCAAATGGGTGAGGGCAGATCTCTCAGTCTACTGAATCAAATGCTAATCTCTTCCAGAAACATCTGCACAGACACACCCAGAAATGTTTTACCAGCTATCCAGACGTTCCTCAGCCCGGTCAAGTTGACACCTACAGTTAACGTCACAGCTTGCTTCTGTGTCTGGCTTCTCTCACTGAGCATCGTGTTCTCAAGGTCCATCCACGTTGTAAACGAGTGTCAGTGTTTCTCTCCTTTTCACGGCGAAGTGATGCTCCCGCGTGTGGAGGGACTAGATTTTTTGTATCGAACCATCCCTGGATAGACGCTTGTTTCATCAATTTTTTTAAATAAACAAATAAATAAATTTTTGGCTGTGTTGGGTGTTCGTTGCTGCGCGCGGGCTTTCTCTAGTTGCGGTGAGCGGGGGCTACTCTTCATCGCGGTGCGCAGGCTTCTCAGTGCAGTGGCTTCTCTTGTTGCGGAGCAAGGGCTCCAGGTGCGCAGGCTTCAGTAGTTGTGGCACGCAGGCTCAGTAGTTGTGGCTTGCGGGCTCTAGAGCTCAGGCTCAGTAGTTGCGGCGCACAGGCTTCGTTGCTCCACGGCATGTGGGAACTTCCCGGACCAGGGCTCGAACCCGTGTCCCGTGCATTGGCAGGCGGATTCTTAACCACTGTGCCACCAGAAGCCCAAACTCCATCCTTTTTAAAAATGTGTTCCTTCCACCCTCATGGAGGAGGGGTAGGGGATGGGGAGGAGTGACAACCCGATTTGCAGGGGTCCTGTCGCAACCCCTGAAGGGGACAGGGGGAGGATCTAAGAGGTGGCACGACCCCCTAGTGACAGGTAACAGCTGCACCGCTGGCCCTTCCTGCACCAGGACCTGAGCTCAGCTCCCAGGGCGGCTGGAGAAATGCACTGCTTTTGGTGAGATGCCCTTACTTACTGTGTGGAGGCTGCTCCGGCTGCCCTGGCGACCACACCCCCGCAAGGCTCTGTGCCTGTCCTCCCTGCCCCCTGCCCAGGGCTCTGAGAACAACAGTCTCTGTGGGGCAACCTGCTTCCAAGTCCTTCAGTGACCACGGAGGACTGGGAACGGGCTGGGCTGCCAGAGAGCCTGGGCATCAAACACCTGAGCTCAGCCCTGGGGGCTGATGTGAGGGCAGGGGCTGGGGGGTGGGCAGTGAGCAGATGGGCCTCCAGCCGGCATTCAGTCTGGGCCCTGGACCTGGGGAAAGGCCTCACCCTCTCAGTCCTGACCTGCCCGCTTGGGAACCCTGTGGCCCACCAGCCCGAGGCCTGTGGCTCCTGCAACGGACTGCCCAGCACACAGCTGGGGTGCCAACGCCACACCTGGATTTTGCACCAGCTGGGGACCATCTGGGGGCTCGGTGCAGAGGAAGACGAGCAGCCCCCAGGCCCCGACACGCCACTTCCATATCCATCGAGAGGTGCCCGGACGGAAGGCAGGTTGTGCTCCTTTTCGAGCCCCAGGTAATTCATACGAACAGCCCTCCTGGCCACGGGGCACCCACCCACCGGCTCTGGGCCAGCAACCAGCCCAGAACACAGAAGGCACAGAAGTGGGTGCAGGGAGCTGAGCCAGTGCTGCAGAAGGGCAGACACCACAGCCTGGTCCACAGCCGACTGGCCCAGGGCGGGTGAGAACGGGCGGGCAGGCTGAGGGGAGGACAGAGCGTGGCACGGCCTGCCCGCCTGGGCCCCAGGGAGAAGGTCAGGGTGCTACCCGCGCCCTCGCTCCGCTGCCTGGCGTCCTTTGTGGGGACAAAGGGCTGGAGGCAGGGCTCCCGAGGAGCTCAAAGGCCAGGGAAGGACACACAGGACGGTCCAGCCCACCCTACCGCTCCAGTGGTGCAGCACCCTCTCTGAATTCCTACTGCCACCAAAAAACACTCCTAAGGCCTTTGGGAAGAACTGCTAGGACCCAGGAAGACAGCCCCTTGCTGTGGCCCAGACTTCACGAACTGCCGGCGACCAGAGGAAGCCAGCCGGCCGGCCGTGAGCAGGACAGGGCACGGGGACAGGGCCAGCCACGGCCGGGCTCCCCGCAGCTGTGCCCACCGCCAGAACCAGCTCCCGCCAATCACAGCCCCCGACATGCCAAACAGTGACGGGCGAGAGGCCGGCAGGAGACTGACACCACGTCACTGGAGAGCCGGCCCGGCGAGGGTGGGGGGGCCATCCCCGTCTGAACTCACCCCACAGCTCAGCCGTCTCCCAGTGACCCAGACGCGTCACCAGCGGAGAGCAGCCTTCAACGGCCCCAGGGCCGATCCCCGACCAAGGTCAGAACTCCCGCCAGAGTGATGGCCCCCATGCCACTCCTGTGGTGGAAGGGATGGCAGTCAGAGACCAGGACTGGAGCCTTTTTTTTAATGCCTCCATTTCAAAGAACCGTGTTTTAACCAGGAAAGCTCCCCAGGAAGGGGCTGTATTAGTGCAACAAGTGGGAGCCTTGACGCCAGGCTCTCTAGACACATCCAGGTGGAGGCTTTTGGCCCAGGCCGGCCGCCGGGGACTCAGGGGCTGGGGGGACACGCGGCCCCTCCCCTGCCCCGGTGGGGCGCTAAGGCACCCGGCCCACTGGGGTGGGCAGAACCCTGTGCCGTCAGCAGGCTGGCGGCTCGCAGTCCTCAACCTGCAGCCCTTTGCTCAGGAGGAAGGCGTCCTGCTTGGGGTCCCGACCCAGGAAGAGCCTTAACATGACGCTGGCGTCCTGGGAGCCGCCCGGCCTCAGGATGCAGCTTCTGTAGTCCATGCCCACCTGCCGAGAGGGGGCGGGGCTGCAGGAGGATGGAGTAACCCCACCCGTGGCTCCAGGGGCCAGCAGCATCCAAGGGAGGGGATCTGGGGGTGTGGGTGTGGCCACCTCTGCTGTGGCTGAACAAAGGGCAGGGGAGCAGGAGGACCAGGGCAGGGTCCTCAGGGCCGGGCAGGCCCAGGCGGGTGGCACAGGCATCTAGGCCCAGGCCGAGGAGCGCGGTCTTGGTCTGCGCGGCAGGCCGGCCTCTCACCTTGCCACTCAGGACGCCCTCCTGCTTGAAGCGTGTGTGGAACATGTCCGCGGAGTACACCTCGCTCCACAGGTAGCCATAGTACTGGGCGTCGTAGCCGCCTGCCAGGTGGCCGAAGGTCGCGGGCATGTTGGTCCCTGGGACACACGTGGAGAGGCTCCTGCCCGGCCCCCTGGCCCCTCAGTGCCCCTTCCCGAGAGCGGGGGCCTCAAAGCAGCCCTGTCTGAGACCCCTGCCACTAGAGGGAGAATTGGCCCAACACTTCAAGAAAACAGGGACCTTGCGGGCAACTCAGTGGAGGGACACAAATAAATCTTTGCCCACTTTCTGCTGAAGCTCATGAGGGTTCACCTCTAAGCCTCTTACAAGGTCAGCTGCCGAGGCTCCGAGGGACGAAACGGGGCTCGCCCTCCGCCACGGGGAGAGCGCGGATTAAAGCGCTCACGAGGGAGTGAACCGCGTGTCCACACCGACATGCACGTGCAAACCTGTGGATGCGTTCCGTCCGGGGTATGAAGCCCTCTCCTGCCCCTTCCAGGCTCTCCAGAAAGCACCTGCTGAGCCGCCCACCCCACCCTTGGCCTCCACGGGCCACAGCGGGAGGGACCAGCCCAAGAACCGAGGCGGGAAGAGGCCAGAGGTCCGACGGCCTCGGCCGGAGGGTGTCGGTCGGTCCCCCTTCACACACCACTAGACGATCTTCCTGACCCGGGCAGTGGCCGCCACCCCAACCCCTAAGGTGGGCCTGCGTCGCGCGTGGCTACCTGGCGTGGCTGGGACCCCGAGGATCTCCTGGGAGAGGCGGGCATACTCCTCGGCTGGGTCTGCGGCCGTCTGCGTGTGCAGGGCCTGGTCCACCTTGGCCAGGACGATCTGGCGCAGGTTGAAGAGGCCTGGGGGGCAGGAGGAAGGAGACGTGGGACTGGCTCTGTGTCCAGGCCGCCCTCTCCAGCCGGGCGGTCTGGGAGCTCCCTTCCCTTCCCTTGGCCCGGCCGCACCTGTGTTGGCCTGCCGGGACTTGATGAGTTTGTCCAGCAGCTCCTGGGGGACGGCGCTGCCCGTGCGGTAGTGCTGGGACATCCTGAGCAGCGGCTCCACCTCCCACACCCAGTTCTCCAGCATCTGCGAAGGTGCCTCCACGAAGTCCCGCTCCACGTGTGTCCCACTGAACATGGCGAACTCGGCCTGCAAGGCAGGCTGTGGAGCTGCAGGAGGGCCCACCCCGGACCCTAGACCTGCCCGGAACACAAGGGTGCAGAGAGCCCGCCACCCCGTGGATCACCGCGCCCCCTCCCCACCCATGGAGCCAACACTCTCCAGCCAAAGCCCCGCACCCAGGAGGCAAAGGTGCGGACACGGCGCAACCGGATGGCGGCCGTTGGCAGGCGCTCTTTGCTCCTCTTTCGTGCCTGAAATTCTTCCTGAATACACGGCGCCTGACGCAGTGCGGCTGGAACCCAGGCCCGGCAGGTGTGGATCCACACGAGCCCAGTGACCCCGGCATGTCCTCCCCAGGCCCCAGGGAGCAGGGCAGACGCTGCCTCCTCACTCCTGGGTCACTTGACCCCCAACTTCCGGTTCCAAGCCCCAATTGCAAACAAGCGTCCTTCTCACGGTCTGCTGAATGCTCCAATGTGTGCATTTTTGTGTTTCTGGGGTGATTTCTCGGCTCAACATGGCTCCGAGCATAGAGCTGAAGTGTTGGCTGGTGTCCCAAGTGCAGGAGGGCGGTGACGTGCTCACGGGGACAGTGCGTGTGTCAGATGAGCTTCCTTCAGGCGAGGGGTACAGCCCCGCCGTGAGTGACTCAACAATTGCTATCAGACCAGGTGTCTTTAAACAGAAACGCACATCACATGTGGCTGCGCGGGGATCGGTGGCGACAACGTGGTGACAGAGGGCGACCCCCAGCCTCACACCACAGACAACACTCCACCATAGTGGACAACAACAAAATTAAAGGCTTGATTACAAAACTTCTAGGCAGAAAAGGCAGAAGAAACTAGACAGGAGAAACTCAGTACCTCGGGTTAGAGAAGGATTTTTTCCATAGGACACAAAACGTGCAAGAAAACAGTTAATAGACTGAACTTCAAAGTCAAAACCTTCTGCTCATAAACATACTAGTAATAAGTGGTCCCTCCACACACGGGGACATCCCTCAGCCACACAGAGGGGTGAAGCCCTGACACTCACTACCACGTGGATGGACCCTGAGAACACGATGCTCAGTGAGAGAAGCCAGACACAGAAGGACACACAGGGTGCGACTCCACTGATGGGAAACGTCCAGAACAGGTAGATCCACAGAGTCAGAGAGTGGGTTCCTGGTTGTCACGGGCTGGGGAGGGAGTGATAGCTAAGGGCATGTGGGACATTTTCAGGGTGATGAAAATGTTCCAAAACATGGCAGTAGTGACGGCTGCACAGCTCAGTGAACTGTCCCCATGTGCTCCGGTGCAGCCTGTGACAGCATCGCTCTCGGGACGGAGGGCTGACCGCAGGAAGGCTGAGCAAGCAGTGGGTCCTGGGCCCGGCCGCTCAGCTGGGGGCCCCACGTGGGGAAGTCACTGGGACTTGCTGAGCCTCCATCGAGACTGCCAGCAGCCCCAGGGCCTCACTGGGCGCGGCGTTCCCGGCCCCAGAGCCTTCCCTCTGGTTCTCATCACTGGCTGTCACCAGACTTGCAGGCAACGTTCCTTTCTTTTTTCTTTTTTAAAGGCAACTCTTGAGTACATGTATTTAACATGTAAGGAACCAGCCCTGACACCTTGATCAGTGGCTTCCAGCCTCCAGAGGCTCCAGGACATCCATTTCCGTTGTTTACGTGCTCAGTGAGTGGGGTTTGATGATGGAAGCTGACACTGAGGGCGTTGCCACGTCCGGGGTGACGTCAGCTGAAGAATCCCGCGGCGAGGACATGCCTGAGGACCACGCGCGCCTGGGCCCTCCCCCTCTCCTGCCCGCAGCCCAGCGCCCGCACCCACCTGGGAGCAGAGCTGGTGCATCACGTGCCCAAACTCGTGGAAGTAGGTCTCCACCTCATCGTGCTGCAACAGGGAGGGTGCGTCGGGCGTGGGCTTGGTGAAGTTGGCCACCATGGCCGCGATGGCGATCTGGCGGCTCCCGTCCTGCCGCAGGCAGCCCGGCTGCAGGCCGAAGCAGGCCGCATGCCCGTACTTCCCTTCCCTGGGGAGGGACGCGGGGTGAGGCCCAGCTTCCGCAGAGGATCCCCGGCCCATGGCCGACACGTTCCCCCAAGCACACACCGAGGGTAGAGGTCCAGGTAGAACTTGCCGATGACCTTGCCCGAGGCCGTGTCCCGGACCGTGTAGAGCGTCACATCTTCGTGCCACACGGTGGCGCCCTCCTCAAGGTCGAAGGTCAGCCCCAGCAGCTCCTGGTAGATGCCCAGCAGCCCGCGCGTGACCACCTGCATGGGGAAGTACTCCTTGAGCAGGTTCTGGTCCACGCGGTAGCGCGTCTCCTCCACCTGGTTCATGTAGTAGCGCATGTCCCAGGCGTTGATGCGCCCGTCAAAGTGCAGGCCCCGCCTCTGGCACTCGGCCTCCTTTAGCTCCAGGATCACGGCCCGTTCCTGCTCCCCGAGGGGCTTCAGCTTCTGGGCCAGCTCATCTGCGGGCGGAGGGGAGAGGCTCGGCTACGTCCCTGGGGTGGCTCCCCAGCCGCCCCCAGCCCTGCGCCCCTCGAGGCAGAATGAAGGGTCTGGGAAGGTGACCCCCAGGCTGACACAGTGGGGTCTCAGGCAGCACCGCGTCCAGTCCAGGTCTGCCTGACCCCGCTCCCCACTGGGCCCCAGGGGGAGGCAGGGTTACCTAGGAAAGTGGCCACCACCTGGCTGGTCTTGGCCATGTTCATCTCCAGCACGTAGTCGGCATGCGTGCTGAACCCCAGCAGGCGGGACTTCTGGGCCCGCAGGCTCACCAGCTCCCCAAGGATCGCGCAGTTCTCCTGGAACCCAGAGACGGCCGGCGCTGGGGACCATGGGCCATGCCCTCCCCGTGGGGCCCCGGGCCAGGTCTCTGCAGGCGGGCAGGGCTCCCAGGCCGCTGGCGCGCACAGCCAATACCCCTCCCTCCTCCTCCTGGCCCAGATTTCTAGACACTTTGGTGCTGTCCTACCATGTGGTCTTTATAAACAGGTCCTTCGGAACCAGAAAGGTCGTGAACCGTGATGGGCTCTAAGGCCAAGGGCGGGAAGCAATGCGGCCAGGCTCTCCAGGAGCCACCAAGGGGCCTCCCCAGGCTCAACAAGACAAACACGGCTGCCGTGCAGACAGTAGCTCAACCCCACGGCGCCCGAACACCCAGCCCCTGGACGGTGAGACACCTGTTGCTGCAGGTGGCCCGTGGCTCACTGATGAGGCCCGGCCCCAGGCGTACGCCACCTTCTCGGGGGCCACCTCTCCTGTCTGCAGTGGGGTTCTCCTGGGAGCCCCCCGTCACCACAGCACCAGCGTGGCCTGTCTGTAGCCCAAGAAGGCGGGGACACAGGACTGTCCCCCGTGCCCCCCGCATCCCCCGCGAGGCCGAGCGAGCACCAGTGGTGTCTGCGGGGAAGATGAAGGGCTCACGCACAGCCCCCATCTACTGAAGATGCTAAATGGGAGAAGCACAGACTGCAGCCACACGCGGTATGGACCAAACACAAGTGTCCTTGCAGAACCCGATGTCTGAATGTCAAGGCCGTGCCCGGGCCACAGCGAGAAGGCCCAGCCCACATGCTAGGCACAGAGAGGGGATGCGGGGGACCTCTGCGAATCCGAGCTCCTCGGGCATCCGGCAACACCCGAGAGGGAGAGGACCTGAGGCTAAGGCTTGAGAGCGAGGGAGCAGAAGCACGAGCTCAGGAAGAGGCTCAGACCCCTGCCCCGGGGAGCCTGGGGGACGGAGGCAGACCCCCGGACACCTGCTAGGGGCGGAGCGAGCTCGTGGGCCCCTCCGGGCACTGAGCTGGCAGAGGCGGGCTCCTCACCCGCTTGCACCGACAGTTGAAGGCCTCCTCCACCTTCCTCCTGGTCTCGGGCACGTGGCATTTCTTCAGGAGGGGGAAGTAGTGCGGGTACTTGAGGGTGACCTTCAACTTCTCATCCTCGGTCTTCTCCAGCGAGTTCAGGAAATCCTCAGGGAGCCCTCCTGTGGGAGCCAAATCAGGGAGCTCTGAAAGGACCCCGTGGGCTGCCCGACCCAGGTGGGAAGGGAGGGCGTCCCTCCCGCGTGGGAAGTGAGGAACGGGAGCCAGCAGGGAGCACAGTGCCCGGTGCGGCCTACCCAAACGCCCACTTCCCACCTCTGCAACCAAAGGAGCCACGTCAAGGGCTCTCCCGCCTCAGACAGCCACTGCTCTCCTCATCAAGATGCCCTCGGGGAGGAAAAGCTATGTTCAGCTCCACCCAGGCCAGCCTGCACCTGCAGACGGCGTTCACCCTGGGACAGGCTCCACCCCGGGACAGTGCCCACCCCGGGACAGTGTCCACCCTGGGACGGTGTCCACCCCGGGACAGGCTCCAGCCTGGGACAGCGTCCACCCGGGACAGTGCCCACCCCGGGACAGTGTCCACCCTGGGACGGCGTCCACCCCGGGACAGGCTCCAGCCCAGGACGGCATCCACCCCGGGATGGCATGGGCTGCCGTCTCCTCTGTGTCCTTTCTGGGTGGATGGCACCAGTGGAAGGCAGAACCCGCCAGGCAGCCCTGACTGGGCGGTGCCCCCGCCCCATCCCAGCTGTCAGCACTGCTGCAATGGCTGGCCTCCAACCTGGCCTGTCCTCTTAGCATGGAGACCCGGGTGCATCGCCCTCAGACTAAAACCTCCAGGGACCTGTGCCTCACAGCCTGGGCGATGCAAGGCCACCACCCCTCATGCCCCAGCCTCGCCACCCAGCTCAGCCCTGGGGCCTGGGAGCTGAAGGAGGGGTGGAGGAACCCTAGAGGATCCCCCTCAGGTGGGCCGTCTCGGCAGGCCCCGACAGGTGTGCCCGTGACTCTAACCCTAACCCAACAAGAAACAGCTGAGGGAGAGCCACCCTTGCCCCGAACCGGCTCTTCCTCCCTACTGGGACTGGAAGACCCTGTGACTCTCTCTCAGCCTCACACTTACCCAGGAGCCGGTTCTCACTGTTGGACAAGGTGGTGAAAGCATGGAAGGGGTGCCACGAGGCGAATCCCTAGATGCTCGACCTGAGCTGAAGGCACTGGTAGGCACTCATGGATGTGTGTCTGTGCGCGTGTGTGCACACAGCTCTCGTCAGCTGAGGGGGCCTAGAAGCAATAACTCCCAGCATCTGGGCGCACACCCAGCAGCCAGACCTTCATTCTGACTATCCCGCCAGGGCCAGGCCGGGCTGGGCCAGGGAGAGGACAAAGTGAGCCCGGCCCACCCTGTGTCAAATAGCAGGTGCTTGAAGAACCACAGGGACACGTCCACTTGAGGGGCTCTTCGAGGCCACACTGGGACAATGAGCATCTAAGTAATGACAGCAGGGGACCGCACCCCACCAGGAAGACCAGGACCTGGAAGCCCACACATACAAAGACACTGGTCAGCAAGTACTGGGGGGTGGGGTGGGGCAGGGGGGTGAGTTCTGACTTACAAGAAGATACAAACTAAGAGATTACACAGGACTAGTGGGTGAAAACAAATGAGAGGAACCAACCTCCAAGCTTCTCTGGAGAAATGACTGACTATGAACGGAGAATGGCGCCTTTACAGAGAAGACGCCTAGAGGAAATTGCCTTAGGACTGAGATTTAGGGAAAGAAACCAAAGTGTTATGTGTGTGTATGACTCTCTCTCGAGAGGGGGAGGGAGGGGGATGGTGAGAGGGAGGGAGGGAGAGGGGGAGAGGGAGGGAGGGGAAGGGAGGGAGACGGAAGGAGGGGGGAGAGGGAGGGAGAGGGACAGAGGTAGAGAAAGAGAGGGAGGGAGAGAGAGGGAGAGAGGGAGACAGAGGAAGAACAGGAAGCAGGGAGAAAACAGAGAAAGAACACACCATCTATGTTTCTGTAAAATGACACCAGGGATCCTTCCACAACCGGAGAAAATAACCCAGCGAGGCTCCTGCTCAGCTGGAACTGAAACTGCAGACGGGGTCAAACCCCACCAGGCTGGCCACACATGTCCAGCCACCACCCCAGCCCTGTGAGACAGGTCACCAGGGCTCTGAATGTCTGCTCCATGGAGCTGGGGTTCACCCTCTCGCCCGGGAGGCCGGGCCATGACAGCAGGGCCCCTGGGCTGGACAGATGGGGGGAAAGCAGCCCCACAGGACAGCTTGTGCCAGCAGATTCAGCTGCCAGTTTCCGGAGGCCCGGGATCACCCTTTGGCCCGTGAACCCCAGGAGCCACATGGGTCTTGCTGCCCGGGACAGGGGGTTGGGGACCAGAAGTTAGGGCAGCAGAGGTTGGCGTGATGGACCTGAAGCATCTGCCTGGGTCAGCGTGCATCCGTGGGTGTCCCCAAAACCCACCCGCCCAGAGGCAAACGAGGTGTCACATCTTATGCAACAGCCTGTTACACAGAACCGGTGACGATGCTCAGCCCCATCTGAACCCCGGGCAGAGCTGACAGGCCGCTGCCCACCTGGCCTAGATTTTGCAAAACTATCAGCGTGGGCAAGACGGAAGCAAGTTTGTAAAAGGTTCAGGAACCGATCAGCAGGGAAGGAGCCTGGAGAGACAGGAACTAAATGCAATGCCTGAGGCCTGGCTCAAGCCAGATGGGGCCAGAAACGTAAAGACTGCCATCGGGACGGCTTGGGGGACCGCTCCATGCTCTGCTTCCCGAGGGCTGCCTGTACCCGGGGACTCAGGAGGTGCCCTTGCTCCTAGAGACATGTCCGGAGGCCCTGGCGCAGGAACAGCACACACAGCATCCACGTAGGGAGGCCGGGCCCGGGGAGCACATGGGGTCTCCCTGGTGCTATTCTTGCCACTTCCCTACAGGTGTGAAGTTTTCAAAATAAAGCATTCGAGGAAGAGGGCAGAAGTTGCAAAAGCCGCCCAGGCCCCAGCCCTTCAAGACCCCACGCCTGGTCAGACTGGGGAGGACCCTGTGAGATTAAAGAAACATCACAGAGAGCAGGGTGGGGGTGGGGTCTTGGGGGACAACTCCCTTTGGGGCAGAATCTCGGTAGACAGACCGCAACCGCCCCCAAGGAAGGATCCAGAACATTGGGACCCAAACACTCTGAGCACCCCAGCGGAAGAAGGCCCTCCCGGGGGTCAGGGGCACACAGACGCCTCTCCACCACCGTGCGGGGCCCGCACGCACCCAACTCCTCGCGCGTGAATGGCAGGAAGGTGGTGTCCTCGTTCAGGTTCTTGTTGAAGTCGATGCACAGGAGACTCAGCTTCTTCTTGATGCTCTTGATTTTCTGAAGGAAGAAGACGGCCGTGAGATCGGGGGGCGGGGGCACGGAGGGGGGTTAAGGCAGAAGAGGCGGATGAGAGGAGGGAGATGGGAGAGAAAGGGCCTCGGGTCCTAACTGTTAGGACCCTCCTCAGGAGTTACCCCAAGGTGACAGTCTAAGATTCAGCCATTTCAACGGAGCTAAGTTTCTGTCCCTTCAGGGTCTATCTGGTTTTCAGAAACAGGGAGAAATGGACCAGCCTGGGGGAGGGAGCGACGTGGGGTGCAGAGGAAGGCACCGGCTCCCTGGGGCCCCTGCCGGGCCAGCAGTAGGAGGGACGCCTTGAGGACCTGCCCAGGCTGCACCCCCTGCCCGGCCCAGGACTCAGCGCGCCCGCCCCGCTCCCGGGCTGAACAGCCATGCCTATCGGAGGACAGGAGGGGCGCTGGGGGAGCGTGCCCGCTGGCTCTGCCAGGAGCAGGGGCTCGTCGGGCACGCCTGGCTCAGAAGCAGCCCGAGGGACGCCGGGCGTTTGCAGGCAGCAGGCGCCGTGCCAGACACTGGCCTCCCTACAGCCTCACGGCCCCATGGGCCACGACTGGGCAGGAGCACAGGGCGCCCTGGGAGGGCGGGGCGGCACTGAGGACCTCGCCCCGCGCCAGCAGGCCGCCTCTCCTGGGCGCCCTCCTCCCCGGGCGTCCCCGTGGTCCCTCCGGCCAGTGGTTCTCAAGCGTCAAGGCGGTCTGCGCAGCCCCAGCGTGCACACCCTCGGCTCCCCCAGCCTCGAAGCTCCACGCGCCTGCCGCTCCGCAGGACTTCGCACCCAGCCCACCCTGGAAGCTGGAGTCCCACAGTCCTCCGAGTCCCGGTTTCCTCCACCACAAGGCACAGAACCAGCCGAAGCGGGACAGCGTTTTTCTTGAGAAACGAGAACTGTCGCTGAGCCCTGGGTCGGGCCTGGTACCTGCATTAACCGCTTCTGTCACTTTCTGACGCAAACCAGCCAGCGCAGGGATGCACCCCAGCCCCTTCTGTACAGGGCTCCCACACTCGGGGCCACCGTCCCCCCGCGCTCATCACCCTGGGTAGGCCCAGAGCCCCGGATCATTCTAGCCGATCCTGAGCTGCTCCTTCCCGGGGACGCACACCTCAGGCTCCAGTCCCCAGCCACCCCTCCCCTCCTTGCTGCCGAACCCTCGTGCTCCCGGGAGGCCCTAGGTGACGAGGCGGGCCCCTGCCCAGAACCGCGAGTGGCAAGCTCTTTCCTCATCTGCTGGCCTCACTGTTCTCTGTCCTCCACACAAACCGACTCGGTCAGCGCTCACGACCACCTGTGAGGGGGTCCTCGGGTCACGCACGTTGCAGAGGGTGAACAGGGACAACGGGGTCCAGTGACCGGCCTCCGGGGACCCAGCCGGTTGGTGGCAGAGCTGGGTCTGATCCCAGAGGTCAAGACGCGTGCAGCCACGGTGCCACATGCCCCCCACCGAGGTGATGCGCTCGACCATGGGTGGCTCGCCGTGCCCGCCCCCCTCCCCACCCCACGAGGCTGCCTCCCGGGAGGGGCCGGGCTGCCCATCGCCCACCTGTCCAGGGCGCTGCAGGGACCCCGTCCTGCTGGAGCAGGGGTGGGAAGAGCTGAGGGCTCTGGGGTCCACGTTGGGGGCAGAGGGGTGTCAGGTAACTGGGAGGACCTGAAGGGACAGGCCCCGGGGGGCTGGGCCCACTGGGAACCTGCGTGGCCACAGGGCTCAGCCCAGAGAGGAGGGAGTGGGTGAAGGCGGACGCGCTTGTCAGCCCCCCATCACCCCCAGCCTCCGTGCCCAGCGGGATCCGCGCTGTGAATTACGGGAGAAACGCGTCGGATCTTGGCCCCCAGTCCTGGCACACAGCTCCTAAACCTAAAGCCACAGGATGGGTTGCATCTTACAGCCCCACTGCCTGCCCACCTCCTGGGAGGGGAGAGGGACAGGGGTTGCAGCGTGAATCAGTGGCTCATGGCCAACGATGTAATCGTGCTCACGGAACGAAATCTCGGTAAACTCGGGGCTCAGAGAGCTGCCGGGTGGGCGCCTGCAGGGAACCCGGAAGCCCCGGCCCCGCCCCACGCCTCCACACCTCCTCCAGCCACCTGGCTGCTCCTTATGATAACCCGGTGGTCTGGTCCGTGGACTGGGTGCCTGTGTTCTGGGGGGCCGCGCTAGCCGACGAATGGAACTCGGGGTGGGCGCGTGGGAACTCCTGACACAGCCTGTCAGCCACAAGCGCAGAGGACGACGTGGACCTGTGGCCGGCGTGGGCCGAGCCCTGACCTGCGGGCTCTGACTCCGGGTAGATGGAGTCCGAACTGAACCGTAGAAACCCAACAGTCACAGAGCTGCTGCTACGGGAGCCCCACGGGCCTGGCGTCGGGACGGAAGCTCTGTGGGAGCAGGGGCTGAGGGCGGAGTGGGCTCGGAGGAGGCGGTCCTTCCTTGAGACCCTCCCAGCAAAGCCACGGGGGGCGGGGGGCCCGGCTGAGGCGGGGCTGAGGCGGGACGCAGAGAGGGGCCCAGGCCGCCCGTGCTCTGGGGAAGCCCTGTGACCCTGAGGACCGAGGGCAGAGCAGGTGCAGTGGGACTGCTGGTCCACGTGGACCTTCCCTCCTGGGGTTGAGGCGGCAGAAAGATGGGCAGAGGCAGGCACGCGGGGCCCAGGCCAGGCGCTCACCTCCTGCGTCTCCTCGGGCAGGTGGAGCCCGTTCCTCCTGCCCAGGCTTATCAGCCGCTCCAGGTACCGCGACGCCTCTGGCCTCAGCGAGTCACTCTGGACCTTCTCCTAGAACAAGATAACCAAAGCTCTGCTCGCAGCAAAACATCGAGACGGTGCCCAGTGCTGGCGAGGCAGCAGAGAACAGGGGAGTCATCGCTGGAGGCCGCGCAAGTCAGTGCAGCCACTCTGGAAAGGAGTTGGCCAGTTTCCTAGAAAGCAAAACTTCCTAACAAAGCAGCCATCGCAGGACTCGGCAACCGCAGTCATGGGCACTTACCCCAGAGAAATGGAAACTGAAGTCCGCACAGAAACTGTACACAAATGCTCGCCTGACTGGGAAGAGCCCCAGACCGAAAGCCGCTGGGGACCTTCCCAGGGCAGCGGATGACACGGGCAGTTGTGTCAACGTCAAGAGCCTGCTGGGACGCTGACTTTACTTTCACAAAAGGTGACACTGGGGAAAACGGGGCCAAGTAGCCGGGACCACTCTGAATCATTTGTTACAACTGCACGTGAACCTACAATTAATTCTGTCAGTGAAAACTTCTGTTAAAAGCAGCACTGCCTGCGCTTTCAGAGGCCCCCGCCCTTGTGTCTGCACAAAGCACCCAGGGGCCTCCCCTGGTCCCGAGGGATACGCATCAGCGGGTTCTAAGAACCACCCACCAGCCACGTGAGAAGTATCTGTGGTCCCCCCGACACAGGCAGCAGTGCTCGGCCGGCTGCACGGAGCACCCACAGGAAGGCAGGAAGTGCACACACGTGTTACTCGTCCCTCACCTCACGTTGGAGACTGGACGTCCCCTCTAGGTGTGCCCAGCAAGGTCGGGAAAGTGAGGTGACGTGTGGACCCGGGAAGGCATTTTATGCTTCCTCTCCTCCCTCCCACTCGTCTTTGTCACGTTTCTAACGTCGTCTGCTGTGGTCCAACGGCCCCACCGTGAAACTCACCACCTTCCCCAGGCCCAGCCCACAGCCCGTGGTGCCCACTGCCCACCTGCGGGGCTGCCTCCAGCTTGACACCTCGTAAGCCCCGGGGAGTGGAACGACCCAGTCTGAAGAGGTCCCACCGCGCGCTCACCTGCAGCCAGACGATCCTCTGGTACACGTCCTGCCTCATGCTCATCTCCACGTCGAACTCGGACAGCTTCTTGTCCGCCTCCGTGCTGGCTGTCCGGATGTCCTTGGATGGGGAGACGTGCTGCGGGAAGTCAAGGATGTTCCTCTGAACTGAAACAGGGAGACGACAGGACAGGTGTGAAAACGGCCCCGGGTGGAAACGGGTGGGTGCCAGCCCCAGGCTAGAGATGGGCGCAGTTACCCCCGTCCTCGGGGACTCACATTCCAAAAGAGAAGGAACTTAGCTCAGGACACCCCAAGCCAAGAGGGACCGGAACAGGGAGTAGGATGAGACCGGAAGAGGCCAAAGGGACTCGGTGCCAGAAAAGAGCCATGGCTGCCCATGGCTACGCTGCAGCTCACCAAAGATTTTGTACTTCACGGCACACGTGTACGCTTCGTGAGACAGAACGTGTGGCGGCTGTGAAAGCACACGCTTCAGCCGAGTCACCACATGACCCGCAGACCCACCCCCAGGTGCACACCTGAGAGTAATGGAACATCCTCCACCCAAAACTCCTACACACGCCATCACAGTAGCATGATCCGTAGTAACCAAACAGTGGACACGACCCAGGCGCCATCAGCAGATGACTGGACACGTGTCCCTCCACACACGGGGGCATCACTCAGCCATGAAAAGGGGTGAAGCCCCGACACTCGCTGACACGTGGACGGGTCCTGAGAACACGATGCTCAGTGAGAGAAGCCAGACACAGAAGGACACACAGTGTGTGATCCCATTGATGGGAAACGTCCAGAACAGGAAGATCCACAGACACAGTGGGTTAGTGTTGTCAGGGGTGACTGCTGATGGGGTCGGGGCTTCTTTTTGGGGTGATGGAAGGCTCTGGAATTGGAGAGTGGTGAAGGTTGGATATGCTAAATACACTAAAAACCAATGACGTCTATGCTTTAAGTGGGCAGATTACGTGGTATGTGAATTCTATCTCAACACAGCAGTGTTTAAAAAAGCATATACTTTGCATGGGGGAGACCTGAATTAACATCACAGTTTGGTGGCTTCCACGGTTCCAGGCCACCGAGATGGCCCAGGTCTGGTGGGTCAGCTGCAGCGTGGAAACCTCTGCAAGGCAGTCACCGGCTCAGCTGACTAGGCCAAACACGGTGGGGCTCTGGGCGGGTCTCATGCCGGTGGCCTGAGAGCAAGCTGTGAAAAGGACAGAAACAGCCTTTTCTGTCCGTTTGGGATTTGCAGACTGTTACTGCACCGAGTACGACAACGAAACACCAGAGTGTGGGATTAGTCCAGGTGGCTGGTGTGGGGAGACGGGGCACAGGAAGGGGCGCTGGGCGGAGCTCAATCTGTGCTCAAAGAACCCGACACCCAGCCAAGCAGAGGGGAGGGGCTCCCCGGCTGGCACGAAGCCCCCAGACGGGACGCAGGATGAGGGGCAAGGCGGTGCACGGCTGGGCCCCAGAGGCCACGTCGAGGGCTCCCACCTTGACCCCCAGGGCAGTGGGAAGGCACCGGAGTTGGTCGAGGGGAGTGCCATGGTCCAATTCTAGTTTCCTTTAAAATTACTCAGGTTACTGAGGGGAGATGGAAAGAAAAGGCCACAGAAGTAGAGTAGGAGAGACCAAATTATGTCTGGCAGGGTCCCTGCCGAGGTGGGAATTTGCATCATCCACCCTCCAGAGCCTCCTGCCACAAATGAGAGGGGAGACTGAGCCCGCCACCCCTGTCCCGCGCCCGCCACCCCTGTCCCGCCCCCGCCAGAGCAGGGGACTGGGGGGCAGAGCCGGCCTGCGGGCTCTCCATCCGCTGCCTGAGCCGCAGCCCTCACCCTTGGGCCCAAGGCACACTGGGTTCCCCCAGGGCGGACCCTCTGGAGTCTAAGCCTGCAGGCCAGGGGCAAGCAGACCCTGCACGGCGAGGCGTCAGGGACATGTGAGAATCCCGCAGCTGGAATTCAGGGATTCTAGACGGTTCGCAGAAAAACAGCTGCTCTAGAGATTCCGGCACAGGGGGTCTCCTCGGCTCAGAGTTCTCTGCCTCATCAACCTCCGCAGAGGGGGCTCTGGGAGGCGAGCTGTGTATCTGACATACAAAGGCAGCAGACAGACTGTGGAGGCGAAGAGGGAAGGACCCACGGGGTGGCGATGAGGACGCCTCAGGGTATCAGGGGACCCAGGGCGCCATGGGAGGAGAAAACCAAAGGGGACCAAGTTCAGCGGCTCAGAGAAAACAAACAGATCCCCGGGCAGGCACACGGGCAGGGGTGAGAAGGGGCTCCAGTTTCAAGGCTGGCACGTGAGCCGGCTCCCCAAGAGGAGAAGTGGCAGACACTGTCTGACGCTGCCGTTCTGGGCCCTCGGGGACAGAGCAAGCTGGCCAGCCCGGGCTGCCTTTCTCCACCGGGCCCCCGGGGAGGAGGTGGTGTTGCCCAGTCTGGGCAGGGCTCACCTGTGTAGGACACTTCCACGTCGGCCAGCGCCTTGAGTGTGTTCTCGTAGGACACATCTTGGAGCTCCTGGGAGCCCACGCGGTCGTACACGCGCTTGGTCTCCTCGATGAGCTCGGTGGTGAGCTCCCCGATTTGCTGGGCACTCAGATCCCACCGGAGGTAGTTCACGGCCGAGCACGGTGCCGCCACGTCCAGGGCGTCTCCTGCACAGGCTGGACCCAGAAAACAGAACCCCACACCCGGCGTGTCTGCTTCAGGCTCGGAATCAGGGTCAGAGTAACAGGCTGGGGAGAGCCCACAGTTTCCCAGAACAGATGGCGAGGCCCCAGGGCTTTCTGGGGACGCACAGGGCGATTGGTCCTCTAGAGCACAAGGTGATCCTGCCCCCAGGGGACACTGGGGGATGTCTGGGGACGTCTGTGGTTGTCACCACTAGGGAGTGATGCTCCTGCCTCAGCGGGGCCAGGCGTGCTGCTCAATACCCCACAGCAGCCAGGACCGCCCCCAGGAGAGGCCCCGCCCCCGAAGTCAGCGGTGCTGAGCGGGACATCCGGCATATACCTGCGTTTCACTGAAAGAATAACTGCACTGCAGGGTGGTACCCCCAACCTCCCTGAATGGAACCTGGAACATCTGTATTGTATTACTTCTCTAAAAGAGGGGGAAATCCTGATGACTGTGACGTCCCTAGCCCCAGGAGTTTTTGGATACAAGACTGTGGTCCTATAACAACAGCTGTCGGGCTTCCCTGGTGGCGCAGTGGTTAAGAATCCACCTGCCAATGCAGGGGACACAGGTTTGAGTCCTGGGCCAGGAAGACCCCACATGCTGCGGAGCAACTAAGCCCGTGTGCCACAACTACTGAAGCCCGCACGCCTTGAGCCTGTGCTCCGCAGCAAGGGAAGCCACCACAATGAGAAGCCTGCGCACCGCAACAAAGAGTAGCCCCCGCTTGCCACAAATAGAGGAAGCCTACGCGCAGCAACGAAGACCCAACGCAGCCAAAAATAAATAAATTAATTAATTAATTAAAAGAAAAACAACAGCTGTCACTTGAAAACCTTCTTGTGTGTTCCAGGGTGTTTTGACCTCACTGAACTCTCAGGCAGTTCTGTACTCTGCACCCTATGTGGCTCCACTTTACAGATGGGAATCCTGAGTTTGCCATGATGCCACAGCCAGCAAGCGACAGAGGTGGGGTTCAAAGCCGGACAGCTTACTTCCACTGATACACACTAAGTGGCGGGGGGAGCCTCTTCACCTCAATAGAGGTTCGATTTTTCTGGCCAAATGACTGCTTCAAATTAGAGAATATCTTTGCAGAATATTCTGGATTTCAAGAACTGCACAAGAGGGACTGTGAGTCTGCATTAAATCTGGTGGTAAAGAAGGGCTCCAGGAGCTCAGGAAAGGCGGGAGGTCCAAGTCAGGTGGAATTGTCGGGAAAACCTTTTGGAGGAACTAGGATTTGAAAACTTGGAGCAGGCACATTCTTTTCATAAATATTTACTGATTGTCACCTACGTCCCAGGTCTCTGAGCTAACAATCCCGCAGCAAACAAGGCAGACAACATTCCTGCCTCCCTGAGGCCTGAATAACCGTAATTATGATTATCAGCATGAATACAATTATCACCATCATCACAATGGGCTGCAGAAAGAGCAGAGGGAGGATAGGTGGGCAAGAGAAAATTCCAGGAGGCACCACTCAACATCCTGGGCGATTTTCTAAAACAGAGAATGAGGGTAGCATCGCTCCCCTAAATGAAAACCAACCCTTCCATAGCGCCTCTTTGTGCTTCCCATAAAAGGGACTCCCAGCTGTGTTCCAGCTAAAATGACCTGTTGCTCTCCAAACGCCCTGCTGGTGCGCTTGCCTCCCCGCCTTTGCCTTCGCGATTCCCACCACCTGGGACGCTCCTCCCGCAGGACAGCTGCTTCTCCCCACGGGGTCCAGGCTGAGTGAAATGCCACCTCCACCGAGAAGTCCTCTAGGACCGCCCTCCCTAAAGAAGCACCACCAGCCCCGGCACCGACGACTGTCTAAAGCCCTCGCTTAATTTTTGCCTGTTGAACGTCCGTCTCTGGCTCTGGAACTGCGTCTAGAACTCCCTCAGAGTCCACCCAAGGGCCAGACCCATCCTCAGCGAAAGCGACACGGAGTTTGCCGAATGAGTGAAGCGCTGGAAAAGTTGTTCATTCATTCGGCAACCGAGGGTTCGGGGTTCCGGGCTCGCTGACCCCCCTCCCATGCCTGGGCCCGGGTCACTCGAGAGTCACTGGGCTCCGCTCTTAGGCCCCAGGGGCCACCCCGAGGAGCGCGCGGCTCCTGGGTCCGGCGAGCGGGGCCAACACCAATGGGCGGCCGGTACCTGCGGGGGGCTTCATGGCTGGCGGGTGTGCACCGGCGACCTCTCCCTCCACCTGGCCTGCGTCGGCGTAACAGCCGTCAGCCTCCGTCCACTCAACCGCCGAAGCCTACTGGACTGAGGTGCCCGCCGCCCGCGCACCAACTGAATGCTGGGAGACGCGTGCGCCGGACGGCAGGGCGCACGCGCACCCCAGCTCCGCCCACAAGCCGAGGCTGTGCACCCGGGCGCTGACTCCTCCTGAGCATGCGCTGGAACCACCCCCGCCCGTCATTGGCTCTCAGTGGTGAGAGGGCAGAGCCTTCGGGGAGGCGTTTCCATGGAAACCCACACAGCTGGCACCTCGGAGCCTTCGCTAGGTTCTCTCTGCCAGTAGTTCGCTTGGGCTTCTAGCTCCTGTATTAATTTGTACTTGCCTCCTTTCTACCTTTGTTGGGTATTTGGCTAGTTTTACAAGTTTTCTCCCTCACTTAAGGTCCTCCGTGGTCGCTTCCCATATCTCAGGCTCTTATCCCATTCCCAGCATCCTGGCCAGCTTCTAGCGTCTAATGAACAGAGATGGTGCGCCACATATGTTAGCTGAATCCAGTTGGTCAATTAAATTAAACACACATTCATTTAAAAAACAGAAATGTAAGCAAGTATCATTGAGAAAGCTTCAGTGAACGGATCCACGACTTCAAACAACAGGTGTTTTGGAACAGTGCAGTTACCTGACCTATATCTAGGGTTCTCGGTTAACACAAAACCTTGAACCGTCTAAAACACCCAGAAAGAAAAAGTTGCGAGAATTAAACCGGCCCCAAAACCCACCTCCTTTATTTCTGCAAAAGAAATGAAAATAACCCAGGGTGTTAAGTGTGCATGCGTTTTAAGTAGGATAAAAATGAGTTAGGAGAACGCTTCTGGCAACTTTAACGCTAATTTACTGGGGAATTTCCCGTTACCCACCCTCGGTTTTTTCTCTCTTGAGGACATCAAGTGTAATTCTGTTACTCTTCATTTTCGCTGTTTCCTGTACTTGGAGTGCTTTCCTTCCGTTCTCCAAATCCACGTGTGAAAGAGAGGCCTTCCCTAATCATCCCAGCCAACTTACCCCCGCCCATCACAATCACAGCACCCCACTTTTTCTTCATAGCGCTTGCCATTAAGAAAAATTTGTTCATTTATGTACTAGTATACTAGTTTATAGTCCGTCTACCCCAATACAAGGTAATGAGTGAAAACATTTTGTTGGCCATTAGAGTTGGTGTGCAATAAACATTTTTCGATTATTAGACATTTGCTGTAAACAAATTTCTCTATTACTTTACTCTTATGGATTGAATAAATGAAAGAACGCACTTGTAGGTGGATGGGTGGGTGAATAAATGAACAAATATGTTCAAAGAACGCCTGTAATTCTCTGGTCGCCAGATCCCTAAACACAACTGCACCACGTGGTCGACTCTGCACCACATGACGGCTCCGCCAACCCACAAGAGTCCGCCACTGTCCCACCATGCACCGCTCCATTCCAGCTGTAGAGGACTAGTCAGTTCTGATTTCCGCCCTCCTTTCGGTCGCAGAGGTCAGTTGCCCTAACGACCAGCTTGTCCCAGCCTCTAAATTGCGTCACTTCCCCCCCACGCCCGCCTAGATAATTGGTGCGCCTGAGCAGAATGAAAGCCCGCGGGTGCTGGCTCCTTCTGCGCAGGCGTCGCAGCTGGGGGGCGGGACCGGGCGGGGCCGCGGTACGCAGGCGCAGCTGTCGGTGGGTCGGGGTTCGGCTGCCTGAGAGGTGAGTGGGGGGGTGCTCGGCGCTGAGCCCGGCGGGCCTGAGGTCCGCGGTTCGGGGCTCTTGGGGCTCCCAGGGCTCCGGGCCCCGTAAGAGGACGTCGGTGTGGGGCTGGGGTCGCCGCGTCCGCGGGGCACTATGAGTGGGCGGCGCGGAGGGGAAACTGAGGCCGGACGGCGTCGGGCAGGCCCTCGCCGGCCGGGGTCTCGCTCCCCCAGACCCCAGGCCCGGGAAATGCGGGTTCGCAGGCCGGCGGGTGGACAGCGGGAGGCAAAGCGCTCCGCACATAGTGAGCGCTTGCTGGGTGTCCGCTGCTTCCCGGAAACACGGTCCTTTTGAATCGGGGCCCCCGTTCGTGGGGTTCAAGTCGGGGCTCCTGTCTCGGCGCCGCCACTCTCTACATGGGTGACCTTAGCCAGCCTCTTGGCTTCTCGGAGCCTCAGTTTCCCCTTCTGTAAAATGGGCGTCGTCTCCGCCACTGCCTGGGGTGGGAGGCTTCCGGGAGGATTAAGTCGCAGGGCCCCCAGCGCGAAGTGAGAGCTCAAAGGGATCAGCAGCAGTTAGTCTGATTTCACACGGAGGGCCTCTGCCTACTGTGCTGGAGGTGGGAGAAATCTGGGGTCGAGGACCAGCTCGTCCACCTCTCGCTGGCTGTGTAAGCTCGGGGAGATCGCTTCCACTCTCCACCAGCCCTTTTATTCTACTAATAGGGGTTCTAGAAGTACATGCCTCTTACAGGCATTTTGAGGTTAAATACACGTGGAACATTCTTTACTCAGTTTCCCTCCCCTTGTCAAGAGCTTTCTAGAGGACAGCTAGTTTTGTTATTAGGTGCCAGGAAATGCGTGTGCACTCTGCATCCTTGCTGAGTGATGTTCCCATTTTCTTTTGTTTCTGCCTCTCTGGTTATTTTTGTCTGCTTTTCCTCTCCGTAGACCAGGGATTTTGTCCTGTCAGGGGACCCGGGGCCGTGTCTGGGGACATCTGTGGCTTTCACGACCAGCGGCACTCCTGGCACCAAGTGGGTGGGGACCAGGGTTGTTGCTCCACACCCCTCAGTGCACAGGACGGCCCCCACAGAAAATGATCTGGCCCCAAATGTCCACAGTGCCAAAGTTAAATCCTACCCTAGACTGGTGATTCTTCGCCAGTGGGCTTCAGAGGGGGCAGAGGGTGTGAACCCCCAAGAAATCACGTGCACAGTTTTGTGTGCATGCCCACTTTTGTGGGATGAGGAAAGGGTATTTTGGAGTTTAGGCTCTGGAATCAGCCCGCCCAGGTTCAAAACTGCCGATTTGCATCTTAGCTGGGTGCCCTTGGGGGGGTGCCCCCATTTCTCTAAGCCTCAGTTTTTTGTTCTGTACAATGGGAGTTAGATTAAACAAACTGTAACCAGGGGGCCAAATCCCCCTGCAGCCTGTGTTTGTGAATGAGGTTTTGTGGGAACACAGCCCACTTGATTGCATACATGTTATCCATGGCCTGGGAAGCTGAACGTCCTCATTCTGACCCTCCTTTTCAGAAAATGTTTGCTGACCCCTGAAATAGGCCATTATGTGTACTCAGCTCAGGGCCTGGAAAGTCCTGGGCACTCCAAGGATTTCATTCAGGGGTTTATAATTCAGTCTTCCTGAAAGGGTGAGTGGTTCTAAATGGGGTTAAGCTCTGCCCCGGATTGAGAGCTATAGTCTTACTTGTTCGTCCTTTTTTTTTTTGGGCAAGACCCAATGCTGGCCTTGGCGGCCCATGCACAGTGAGGGTGAAAGAGTAAAGGGGATGGTTGGTAGGTAGGCTTGTCATCCCCTCTGCTGATGAGGAAACCGAGACCCAAGAGAAAAGACCTCCCAAAGGAACCTGGTCACGTGTCTCTGACCATGACAAGGATCCAAGGTTTCTCTGAGTCCATGTGGACCAAACGCCCCTGAGTGCTGGGTTCCCTGGGGGAAGGTGATCTGTCCAGTGGCTCACAGTCGGGTGCAGAGTGGGCAGGCCAGGAAAGAGTCGGAAGGCCTTGTAGGAGATGCTGGACCAGAGGCAGGACAAGTACTGGGCTTTGCTGGAAGAAGAGGGTGTCCAGCTCTGTCTGAGGAGGTGACCTTCTGGCTTGGTGTTGAAGGGAGAGTGAGTGGTTCCCGGATGGCAGGAGGGAAGGTGAGCATTGCGTTTGAGCAGAGCACAGGGGCTTTGATGAGGGGCCACATGTGCCTGCTCAGGAGGTTTCGGGGGGCTGTGGAGGGTTTTTAGAGTGCAGGACATCCTGGCAGCCCCTCAGAGGAAAACAGGGCTGCGATGTGGGGCTCGGGCTGGAGCCTGAGTTCCAGCTCTTGGGACCGCCCTTTCCTGGGAACCCTAGGTGCCCTGGGAGGGGAGGGAGGAGCAGAGGACCAGCTTGCACACACTGGTGTTGGTGAGAAGAGCTGGATTCGGGCTGGAGGCGGGGCAGGGCACCCCCAGAAGGGGTGGGCAGTCTCAGAAAGAGGGTGCTTCTCCTTCCTGGGGTCCGGGGCTGGGTCACTCATTTTCCTGAGTGTACCCTTTTGCCTCTTCGAATGATCAGTTCTGAGCAGGGAAATAAAAGGAGTAGAGGCTGGGGTGTTTGGGGGTTTTTTGGCCGAGCTGCACAGCATGTGAGATCTTAGTTCTCGGACCACGGATCAAACCCATGCCCCTTGCACTGGAAGCGCGGAGTCCTAACCACCGGACCGCCAGGGAAGTCCCAAGGCTGGGGTGTTTTTAATGATAAAATGGAAAGGTGGACGGAGAGCCGGCGGGGGTTCTGAATGCACAGGGAGGAACTGGCACCGGGACCCCCGCTGCAGCCGCACCCCGGGGCCAGCGTCCGTCCCCCGGCCAGGCTCGCGCCTGAACCCCGCACCTGCAGCCAGCGCCCCAGGTGCCTTTGGAGCCTCACAAAGCCCTCGCTGTTCGCAGAGAGAGCGGCCTGCCCCAAGAATTCTGTCCGGCAGCCAAAGCCCAACAAGTCGGGATTGTTCCCGAGACCCCAGTGCCCAGGGGCGGTCAAGGAAAAGAGCGTCCTGGCGGTCCTGGGCCGGCTTTGCAGGGAGCGGGAAGGCGAGGAAGGGCCGACAGCTGTTCCACGCCCAAGAGGCAGGAGAGCGGCAGTCCTCACGGCGCGCCTGTCTCGGACATGTGCTGGGTCCTCGCTGTGGACCCACATCTGCTTTTCTGCAGTCCGGAAATCCCAAATACTCTGCAAACACAGGATTTGCTGAAAGTTTGCAGCTAAGTCGTTTGGCCAGAAACTCTGACCCGTGCTGACTTTTATTTTTCCCACTGAGTGTTTATCAGTGATTTTCAGCTGGTGGTGGTTTGGTGACGTCTGGAGACTTTTGTGATTGTTACCACTGTGGGGGAGGGGGGCTGCTCCACACCCC